TTGGAGGTGCCAACTTTGGACCACCATAACTCCATCCTCCGACCACCTTTTTCCAGAAACCAATATACCATATTGAAGCCCTAAATTCCCTCTTCAAATCCCACCCAACCAATGGTCGTGATCCCATCGGAATTGGCCGAAAAAATGACCCAAAGTGAGCTACCCACTCACAGCCAGATTTTGGACAGCAAGCTGTGCGTGGGTAGCCCACTTTGGGGCGATTTTCCAAACAATTCCGACGGGATCACAGCCAGTGATTGGATGGGTTTTGAAGAGGGAATTGAAGGCTTCAATATGGTATATTGGTCTGTGGAAAAAGGTGGTCGGAGGATGGAGTTATGGTGGTCTAAATTTGGCACCTCCAAACTGTCCAAAATCCGGGTAGCTCATTTTGGCTCGATTTTTCGGCCAATTCCGATGGGATAAAGGCCAGTGGTTGGGTGGGTTGTTAAGAGGGCATTGAGGACTTCAATTTGGTATATTGGTTCTTGGCAAAAGGTGGCCGGATGACGGAGTTATGGTGGTCCAAAGTTGACACCTCAAAACTGTCCAAAATCCGGGTTAGCTCACTTTGATCCTTTATGTTTGAACTAAAGGCATAACGGTCCTCCAGTGACCGTTTATGAAAGAAACTTAAACTTCCGTGACCGTTTGTGAAAGTGTATGAAACTTCGTGACCGTTTCTGCAAGTTTTGAACTTCAGTGACCGTTTTGTTATTTTTACGTAAGTTCAGTGACCATTTGTGAAATTAACCCCACTTTATTATTTTATTTTTATTTTACTCTTGTAACGAGATAAAAATATTGCAAGATTCACAAACTTTAAAATGTATATATTACTTTATATAGATTTGTTGTCTTTTTATTGAATAATTAAATTTCTTGAAATAAAATGTTGTAAATCAATTTTTAAAAATTTCAACCAAATGCATTTTCTAATTTTCTGTTTTAAGAAATAATTTTCAAAATGACAAATCAAACGCATTTTTAACAATCTTAAAGTAGACCATCAAAACTTTAAATTGAAAATGAACTGAAAACTGAAATACAAATCGAAAGTCCTTAGTTTTTAATGAACATTGTTTCACGGCAAGAGATAATTTCATATTTCTACACCTATTTCTACTGCTTTGTCATAGAAAATTGGTATATCTATAGTTTGGTTCGATAAAAGGGTAAAAATTTAAGATTTAGTGGTAGAAAATTGGTGTATTTATCTTTTATTTATTTTATAAAATTATTTGAAAGGAAAAAAATAACAACTAAAATAGTTTATTTGTAGTAAAATACTGCACGGGTCTACGACATTGGACTGCGCTTGGACTCACTTGGCTAGACAATAAATGATCCATATCCTGCAAGTAAATTGATAATATTATTAGGCCTCAAAACAAAGAATTCGTTTTGTCTTCATTAAAATTATAATTTATTTCTATCTTTCTTTTTCTCAATCATTTATTTTTTAATAAAATAATATTACATGTAATTCCAAAAAAAAAATTATTCTTTTTTAATCACACGTTTTTCAAAAAAAATTTATTTCTATCATTAAAATTTCAAATGATGGGAGCAAAATATTTTAGGGTGATACACACCTTCACCCTTAAAATAATTTCGTCCAAATAATTTCGTCCTTGACATTACCTTAGATAAGTGAAGAGTTGTGGATACTTAACTTTCATCTCTTCTCTTTCTCAATTAGATTCGTTCACTCCTTGGTTCTGTCATTGGAATTCTCTTATTTCTCAAGACATGGGCTTTCCTTTCAAGAATAACTCTAAACGATTGATAGTTTACCTCATGCTTCGAATTGTACACATACTTTTTGAGCATTGAAATATGAAATACATTGTGCACTACTACCAGATCAAGTGACAATGTCAAACAATATGCCACATTTCTAATTCTCTCTATGACGCAACTTTGAGAAACATTGTCACCAACCTCAAATTACACTAATTTCATTAAAAAAATTTGTCTATCTTGAGCTAACTTTATTTTGTTTCTAATTTATCAACTGCTAGTACCGTTCGCTCAATAATGTGAACCTAAACCATGTTTTCACCACCTTCATCACAGTGAATTGGTATCTACACCGACTATGATAGAGAACATTATAAATGACATGCCAATAATAATGTGAAAGCTATTATTGTATGCAAACTTCATTAAAGATAGGTGTGATTTCCAACTACCTCTATTCCTCTCAAATTCATAGTACATGCCCAGAGCATGTCCCCTATGACTTAAATAGTAGTTTCTGAATCGTCAATACTAAAATTAGGCTGTCTCAATAGCTTATTGCAAGCCTTCCAAAATTTTGAGGTGTCTCGATCTGAAACAATGGAGCACTCGCTATTTTTACGAACTTTCAGCCCAATTTGTATTCCTCTTTAGGTATAAAAACATGGCGTTGAATAATTTACCGAGTCTCCGTTGCTGGTTTTTTACTACTCCATATGTCAAAAGAAGTGAAAATCCAAACTTTACCAGAGTAGTAATAATAATAAATAAATAAAAGGAAAAAGGGGGAATTAAAGCCCCCCTTTAATCTTTGTATATATACCAAACTAAAAAGAATTGTACATTTCACAACCAAAAAATGGAGCAGCAAAATGCCCATTGCTGCAATGAAGCTAAACCAAAAAGGCCCACTCAATACGTCTCATCCATTCTTAAAAGTCAGTTTGGATAAATTTGGAGCCAAGGATCCATTTCTGCAAACATTTCTATACACTGTCCCATACCTTTCACTATATACAACATACGTCTCCCACCCGAAGTCAAATCTTCTCTGCTAATCGTGAAAAACGACAACAATTTGCAGCAAACAATATTCCACGTCTCCCTCTCGAAGCTGTAAGGCAAGCTTGCGATGAGGGGAGGTCTTGTGCTTCATGGGTTTATAGCATGGAGTCATGCAACTCTTTGATGAATGCAAGAACTCAATCCAAATACCTTCCAAAAAAAAAATGTCAATACCCTTTATCCTATTGATCATCCCTGACTAATTGAAGATCTGAAGCTTTCATCAGGTAATGTCCATGAAATCAGATGGCCATCAGAATCCCCGCTCAACAACTGCTTGAGGTCACCAGAAAGGTGGAGGGCAGCAACGGGATACTTATGAGATTTTAAAACCTTATGCAGGACCAACCTGTACTCGGGAACTTTACCTGCAAGCACTAGCTCTCCTGTCAAATTTCCAGTCTGTTTGATTTGGGCAGAATCCTCGCTCGAACGATGAACCATTTTCCAGACCTTGATGGCCCCACTCTGGTGACCCGAGACATACCAGTTAGTTTCCAACCAATCAGAGAATGTAGAACCCGTTAGTGAGAGAATGAAGTCGGATGGAAGTTGTGATGTATTGACCACTGCAAGACAGTCCCCGTTAATGCTCCAAACAGAAAGCATCACACCAGCTGCAGTCACAATCTCCCCAGTCAAGTCATTCACATATATAGCAGAAACAGGTGAAGGGAACTCAGGAAGTTGCCTAATGAAAGCCAAGGAGCTAAGATCCCATATGATAACAGTACAATCATCCGATCCACTCACAATCATCATGTAAGGCTGGCTAACATGAAGGCACGTAATTTTACCCGAATGGGCACAAAGAGCCTTCTCTAACTGCAGGTGCCGAAGAACACGTGGTCCGTCTTTGCCAATTCTCCAAACACAAATCAAACCATCGTCCGCCCCTGTAACTAAAACCTGACCATCATGGCTTGAACTGGCACACTGGATTTGGTTGCCTCCATGAAGATTCTCATGAGTAGAAAGAAGCCTATCTTGATCATAACTCACAAATCTCAAGCTACGATCAGGAAAACCCCAAGCAACATATTTCGTAAAAGTTCTGGGTTTCAGCAAGTTATTTGTACCAGCCATTAAAATCTTGTCTCCAACAGTCACAATTTGAGAAATAGAAGATGAGCTCTTACGAATCTCTTGAGGTACTAGAAACGGTGAATGCTTGAGTGGATGGGGAGGAAGCTTTCTGTCCGTTCGTCTTTTCACGTGGGGCTTCAAGAACAATTGTTTTGGCGTTTGTCCAAAGTGATTAATTTGTGCCAGAATAGAGGCTTTCATTGCAGGATCAGTGACCGAGTCTATATCAACACTGCCTTCATATGTATAGTGGTAGAAGACATTCACAGCTTCTTCAGCAGCCTGATAACAACACAAGAATGGTCGAGATCAAAATTCGAAAGAAAATAGGAAAATCCAGGAATGAGAAAATGAACCCAAGGGGATAAGCACAGCATAAAATAAAGTTGCCCATGGATTTAGCATGAGTTCACACATACATGCCTCCCAAGAAATTCACAGAATCAAAAAAGATCCTGGTTCAGATAAATGTGCAGTGGATAGTGAAATAAGGCAGCAATTATTGGGTAAAATGGCTTATAACAAAGGAAAAAATATAAAACATTGGACTCCAAATTTTAGATTTCAACATCTTTTCTTTCTTATATCCTTATTACAGTCCAATAGGGAAAAAAGAGTTATTGCCATTAAGAGGGCGAACTGAGGAAATGGAAACAAAATACTGCCACTAAGACAATTTTGGAACATAGGAACAGAAAAAAAGATTATTGAGTTAACAAATTTTGGTAAATTGATGCTCCAACCACGTCTAGATTATCAGATACCAAATTGTGGAGGCAGAAAGACAGGGACACCCACCTTCCCTCTCTGTTTATATCCAAAGATGAGGTCTATCCAGTGATGCAGATTCTCCGAAACATAATCAGATTCCAGTGCTTCCCTGTGCTTCCTGATGAATTCTCTAGCACTGCCCTTTGCCCATGGAGGTAACAACACGTCACCAACCTAGCAGAAAATGACAAGATATTAGGTCGCCCAGACCAAAGACCAAAATGAAATGAGAAGGGGAAGAATTGAACAGAGACAGAACCAACTCGAGCACTAAAATTTTAAAGAACTAGACAAACCTTCTCTCCTGATTGTTTCTCACCCAAGTCAAGATTGAACCTGTTTTCCAGGAATTCAGGCAAATAGAAGAATTCTGGAATTAATTCCTTTACATCTGATGTATTGCCTTTCCCAGCAGCACTCAACCAAGTATCTCCTACACTGTTGAAAAGACGATCAGCATGGTCAAATTGTCCCCCCTGCAGTTTCTGATTCTCAACGCTGAATGGTGGCAGGCGTAAAAGGTAGAAGAGAACGATTCCAGCACTGGAATAATGAGAACCATAATGAAATTTGGGAACCTCTGGATCATCCCAGCTCTCATATCTGACGTAATGAAATAACAAAAACATATCAAGAGTATATAAAATCAGATAAAAGAGTTTCATATCCAAGAAAGAAAATAAAGTAAAAAAGCTCGACAGAACTAGTAGTAAATGAGTTGACAGAAGTACCAACCTCTTCCTGAACTCCTCTTCTCCCTCGAATGTTTGACAACCCATAGGTTTACCAAGGTTACGGAATGTTTTAGGATCTGAAAAATCCAGATTTTTACTCTCATAATCTGCCAAAACCCAGGGGAACACTGGATACTGGGTGAGATCACTGTACCCACGACCTGCCAGCGTGTTGAGATGCATGAGGTACTGAAAATTGCTAATTTCTCCATTTTGCCACCTCTTGGAAAAGGATTTTGCCATAACCTTAAAAAGACGGCTGCCCTCATTGCTTTCCTGTTTTGTTGACCCAGATATCGTTGTGTCTAATCTGTTGCATATATGAATGTATTGTCAAGCTCAAAATTTTCCAAGTTCAACAAAAGGCACGAAAAATTATGGGCAAGATAATAAGTGCTAAAGCAAGACAAATGACATGTTTACATCAGATATAGAAGCAAGTCAAGAAAATACAAGTACTAGAATGCCCGAAGACTAGGAAATCAAACTTGTCATTGAGATTAAGAATGCTCATTCATCCTGTGACCCCGTCTAACACATCATATTACCTATAAAAATGCACAAAAGTTTGACAACGTCTAAAACCAGAACAAAAGTTTCAGAGTGTGCTGCTATGATGATACCAATTTTAAAATTATAGCTTATAAGAACTAAAAAGGAATATCGAACATTTTAAAAGCTTAGAATGTTAACAAATAGAAATTACTATACCATCATGATACATTTCCTAATCCTGCACAGCCCATTTTGATATTTCTCACTCAATATACAAGTAAAAGACTCAGGAAAGGAAGTGTAAATTAATCTCTAAGGACCTAGCTATAGATCTACAGAGCCAAGGCAGCTCCTGTAAAAGCCATGCTCTTAATCATGAACAGTGATAAGAGGTGAAGAAAGGAAATAAAATCTGCCTGTATAGGCAGTTGTGTTCTGAAAGGCACTGTCATTTATTTGTTCATTCCTTGTTATAGATCAAATAAATCTTAATTTGAACCATCCGTACTTGGCAAACTGAATCATCTTTATGGATGAATCTCATGGATCGACCATGAAGTTCATAGAGTTCTAGAACTGATTACACCAATGTTACTAAGACAAGTGATCAGATAAAAAATAAATAATTTAAAGCATCGAATTTCTTCTATGAGCTTCAACCCCAGGGTGATGCTTACTAAAGCTTTGGTTAATCCCCAAGTTCAAGTTCGTAGCTTTCATTTATGCTTGTGAGGTTTCGTTAGCAAGGACAAAAGTGATAACGGTCCCAATCCTACCGGTTCCAGGGAGAGTAAGAAGAAAGTTCAAAGACGTGGTGCGCTGCATTTGATTTCAGGGGAGATAAATTCATCTGAATTTTCTGTTAAATTACATGGATGACTCTCATAAACTCGCATGATTATGTTACCGGAAATGAATTGAAACTATAAAAAATGTCAACTGGAAGAATGGATATAATATATAATTTGTGTCCATGTAGCACCGAAAGCAAAAGAAAAGAATATAGGTCAATGTTCTACTCAATGAACTGGGGCAGTTGAATAAAATAAATCAACAACTATAGTGCCCTTGATGATTTCAGATTCAACAAAATAAATCATAACATATGCTTTCATATTAATGCAGTGTTCCATGCAAAAGGAGAGAATTAATAAATATAAGCAAAGAGCAGCATTTTCCTATAATTCAGTACTATGCACCATTCACCATAAAATAATATAGCATAACATGTACATGGTATAAACATTAGATATATTCAGGTTCACCACTGGCGCACATAATATAAATGTCAAATGGGCTATAGACCAGAAACAAAGGAGGCATAGACACCAGTGATTCTTTAGGATGACACAACTGTAGAAAAAAGAATTATATAGAACTATTAACATAACCAAAACATGTATTAGAGGAAGTTATTTTGTACCAATAACTTCTGTATCTTAACAACACAAGTTGTTTTGCCAAAAGCCACATTCCCAACGTAACACAGATGGGTACCAGCGCATCATAATTCACACTGCCAGCAAAGTATCAACCCAATAGAGAGGCACTATGGTGTATAAACATCAGCTACTTAGCAGCCTAAAATGAATTGCCCTTATTATCTATTAAACAGATATCACTGCTGTTGAGTAGCTTTGCAGAAAAAATCAGCAAAAAGTAAACAGAACCAATGGTAAAAAGCAGGACAAGGAACAAGATTATGCAAGAGTATTATGGTAACATACATGCTGTTTCTTGGCAGATTCATGGCCACCAAATTTTTGAAAACTTCTTCTCTCTCCTTTTTGTGGAAAACCAAAAGGTCATTACAACCATCCATGCTGAAAATCTCGATAGCAACGGGGCGAAGTTGATAATCACGCTTCAGAAGCTCATGAACGCTATCAAGCTTCCACATATGCCAAAAATGGGGCACATTCCCACTAGTACATACCTTTTCCTTACCCCATGCACCACCATTATACGCCCATGCCCTACCCCCAGCTAAGACCTTCGCCGTAGCACACCAGGATGAAGTTGACTTCGAATTGGAATCCATAGAGAAATCTTTTTTTACACCCAAGGCCTGATCAATGACAGAGAGATCATCTTCACTCTCTTTTTCATATATGCATCCAGAATCGTCAATGTAAAAATTCTCGATAACGTATAGTGATAGTTCTCCAACCAGAAAAATACCATCATGCTTATCCAGATCCACCACTCTTTCACAGTTATACTTGTACTTAATTTTTTCGAGAGGTTCGAGATAAGGTCTAATCAAGTATTCACCATTATCGTTCAGTTCTTTGTCTGATTTTTCCTCTGCAATTCTAACCTCATCAATTTTTATTGAAGAAGAATGCCTCGGAGATCCAAGATCAGACTTTCCATACATACTGTCTGCTCTTTGAGTGGAGGCACCACTGGACTTGATACCAAATTCAGCAGCTGAATGAAGACTTGCTTCATTTATACTACTACCACGATCATCATTCCATCCAACCCCATTAAAAGCTACATCTTGAGCATCATCAGATTCTTTCGAAATCAATTCATCATACAGCTCAGCATTAAAAGAGTCTTCTTTTGTCTTATCGTTTAGATGATTGAAAATAGGATCCAAGTCAGTATTAGCGGCATTGAGTTCATTTTCAGTTTTCTCCTTGAACAGTTCTCCTTCCCCTAACTCAAACTGTCCATTCAGAATATTTTCAATAGAATCAATCTTTAATTTGCACCGTTCCATTTTTTTGCGCATCCTATATGGACCTTCAATGGGGCAAAGCTGCCACTCGGGCTCTTTATTCGTGGAAGATTTACAAATTGGGAATATTCCTCTCTCATGTACAAGTTGTTGAAGATGAGTTTGCCACTCACTTTCAGCATGAAGGACCCATCCATACTTATCCTGACGAATAACTCTTAGTTCAGTAGCCATCGCTTCACGAACCAATTCGAGTGCGATTCTTCGTTCATTCACCTGCTCCCAATGTCTTAGGTCTAGTTTTGAGGTGTCACGGGATTTTCTCCCAATTTCTCTCTTACGACGACTATCCATGCCTTTTATCCTCACTCCAGGAAACTTTGTTGACCCTGTTATGTACTGTACCCACATTATGGCAGAGCACTGTTCCAACACTTTATTCACAACCTGTTCAGAACTATGAAGCCACTCAAAAAATTCGGACAAACCTCCAGTCAAAAGCTTATCAAATCCACCATGTAGAACATCCAAAGGTGGCCCTAGATTTGGTTTAGATACAAGCAAGTCTTCAAGTGTAGCCCTACGATGTACCAGAAGATACTTGAGAATGTCAACAGCCATATTCCGTGCATTTTGTCTCTGATCATTAAGAAGAGAGATCAAATTTACACAGAGACAGCAATTGAGATCAGTGTCAAGATTACTGGGACAAAATATTAGTCGCCTGTGGGCAACCAGTAACTGTAAAACTGTGAAGATATCAACCCCTCCATCCTCTGCTGAGTTAGTAGTCAATCTTTTCTTTTGCTCATTCCGCAAACCCAAGTGTGAAAGAAGATCATCTTCTCCAATGCTGATCAAGAATGACGGCAGGAAACAGAATAATATCATTCGATTCATATTTTTAAAAAGTGCATGTATATAAGTATCAAGTTGCCTGCTTCCTCTTCCAATAGAAAGAATTCCTTTGCCGCTCGGAACTGCATCTTCAATCCGACCATTTTTGTTTGCCAACTGTAACATAGATAGCAAGAACTCCAGAGTCTTCAATACACCGGCTGGCTGAGGAAAAGCTCCCATGTATACACGATCCACTATCATCCAACATAGTGCATCTAAGTTCAAGGACCAGCGACTCTTATCAAGCTTTTTCTCATTTTCCTCGTCATCCCGCAAGAGACGTCTTTCTAGGAAGTTCATCAATCTAGTAAGGCATAATCCCTGAAAAACTAAAACAGATTCAGCATCAACATAAAGAGGTGCACTTTCCAAAATAGTCTCTACCACTGGTGCAGCTTTCATTTGTTCAGTCACAAAATCAGAAAGAACTTCTGCCATAAAATCTAAAATAGCAGTAGCTCCAGCAGAACAAGGGCCGCCTCCATAGCCAGAATCATCCACTTGGAGAAGAAGAGTGGGACTAATAGTGAACGGTGTGTTTGAAGCAAGTCCCTGAGAACTTGACTTCATTAAGTCTGAAGAAGAATCAATTTCATTCATGGACGTAGATGACTCTACAGACGGAGTGGATGCAGTCTGGCCTTTTGATTCATTGCGAGGGGCGCCACCCAACCAAGATGCCAATGCTATAACTGGGGACGAAGAGGGAGTGAGTGGAATCCTCAAGTTAGATCTCTCAGATAAAATAGGGGATTCAACCATGGTGAAAGAAGCAGAACTCTGTGAATCATCCGGGAGGATGTTATCTGGTGTGCTATTCACATCGCGGCAATTAAAATCATTACTGCTAGAAGTAGAATTGGAGACCTGGTCAACTGCTTCACCATCATCACTCAACACAACTTGCACATCTTTTACGGACTCGTTCAATCCCTCCTGGGTTGAGACAACACTAATCTCTGGTTTATCACCACCCACATTATCTGGGAAAACAGGAATATCTTCCGAACTAGCACTAACCTGCCCTTGAGGAAAGCTACCTATATTGGTAGAGGTCTTTAATGACTGTTCCTGTTCATTAGGCAAGCTAGAAAATGTATTCTGGGAACTACTAGTATCATCAGCATCATTCAAATTATTGTCTTCCATTTTTACAGCGAGTTCTCTTGCCAATGTTACAGCATTGGCAGCCCTAAATAACAAAGAATAACTAATTCAGTTAACTGCAGATTAACTAGACACAGCCAAGATACTTTTTGAGATTGTAAAGGTGTAACAAGATATACAAATCTAGTAGAGTCAAAGGTGATTGTCAAAAGGTATAAAGAGCACACCTGACACAGGAAAAGTACAGGTCAATACAGCTTTCAAGAAACTCAGTTCGTCTGCAGACATCTGAAAAGATGGGGCACATTTTCGCTAGATCGACCATAAATCTGAGGACCGAAGTGGCAGCTGCAGGTGCGGATGCCTCTCCACCCATCAGGCGAGCAGCATAGGTTTTGTGCAACAGCGCTTCACCTTGAAGCTCTCCAGCCATGTCTAAATTTCCATCCACTAGCTCTGCAACAAGGCTAGCACCCACCTGAGAAAGATTGCCAGTTTGGTGTGCAAACATCGACTGCATGCATAACCTGTCAAATGTTGATTTTGCCATTGCGATCACAGATTCCAACAGTTCCACAAATTTCAATTCTCCACAGTTTCCATTACTTGGCAGGAGGGCATGAAAGTCAAGCATACGGACTTCTGGTAATCTTGGATATACAGGCTTGCCAAAAATCAGACAAAACAAAATATAGTATACATCAGGGGAGTCGTAAAAACTTGGAAGCACCCTGGCCAAACCTTGATAACCTCCACTGGAGCGAAACTTAAGAGTAAATGTAGGAGAAGATGCAAGACACACACCTAAAAGAGTCATGACCCATCTCATAGTGGTAGGATGAACAGCTTCGTCAAGAAAATAAGTAATTAATTTAGATGACACGATTTTATGCCACTGCTCAAGTAACTCCTCAGATTGAATAGTCACCTGCAGATCAATCAGCATCTCAAGCAACATATTTCTTACAATGACATGCTTGCCCATTGATTCTCGCACAATTTGATGGCGTGAACTCAGTTCAGGTGGATCAAATGTCATAATCACAAACCTAACAACAAGTTCCAATTCAGAAGGAAGGAACCCATCCTCCAAGATGACCCCCAACAAGACAACTAGCTTCTCCAATACTGGCACTTCAACATCACCCCTCTGTAGAGTCACAAGTAAATGCTGAACAAGGTTAATTCTGCGAAGAATCGTAAGGTTATGATTCCTATACCAATGCATGGAGACTAGATTCTCAAGAAATCCTAGTAAAGCAATCTGAATCGGAATTGGAGCAGTCACCCAGAGAGTCCAGTCCAACAAGACATGTTCAACCATATCAGCATTTGACAGAACAACGCAATTAGAAGTTTCAGTGGGCATATCGGTGTTGTCCAGCTCCGATGCATGACTGAATGAATCTTTCTGTGCAGAGAAATCATCCATATCTCTGTGAGACCCAACGGAAGAAAATTCATCGCGGAACTTGGCTAAATTAAGATCGTCAAAGCTGGCTTCACTAATAGTTGCAGCAGGTACTGGGGAGCTCTGTGAGGCTCCAGCTTTCTTTGGTTCAGAAAATGAAGCCTTGCACGCAGCAATTTGAAAAAAGATCTCAAGTGACTGCATGTCAAACAATGACATTTTGCGATGAAGAAAAAGTGAAAGCAAATGATATCCTCTGTACTTCTGCATGTCTCTTACATTCTGAGGATTCTGCTGAAGGGCACTTGCAAGCAATGTCAAAGCCATGTGAAGCATGTCCCTCGTTTCAGCAGCTTCAACAAGAGCAAGGACAACAGCCATTCCACCGATAGATTGGATTGCATCACCAATGACACAATGTTTACAGACATAGATATCCCCAAGAAGTCGACCAAAGCGTGGTATACCTGGACAGAAGTACACAGAAAAATAAAATATAATTACAGCAAAATCCAGAAAAACAATTATGTCTCTGATTTTCAGATGAATCTCAAGACTAAAGTACACTAGACAAAGTCAACTAACCCCCCATAGGAGATGCAGCAGCTGATGTTGGATCCACTAGATTGAGCATGGATAAAGTTCCAGATGCCTGAAAGACTTCTGTACTTGTTCCATCAAAAGCAAATATGAGTTTCTTACCACACAACTGCAAAGAGAGGTTCCCCAATTTTTCTATATCCCAAACAAATCCACTGCGATCTGCCTTGGAGATTCCTTGCTTGCTAGTAGTCTCAGCCTTCTGCATGTTAGAAGGCAGAGGCAAGTCGACATCCAAAGAATCCAAAATAGCCATACTACCCCCACCACAGGCCTGATTTGGGACAAACTGTAACAGATCAGTATCTTGGAATATCCCCCGATATCCCCTCCCAAGAATATACATAAAACATATAGAAGCAGGTGGGAGGACCTCTTCAAAAAGATAACAAGATCTGAGCTTCCACGACAAATCACTGATCCTTGCACAAGCGACAGGTGTCCCAATAGTCACATGGAGAGACTTTCCAGCTGGAGAGGGAGAATATCCAAGTTTACCAGTGTGTCTTAGCTTTCCATTCAAATATATATGAGCAACACTAGGTTGAAACAGTCCTGCCAAAGCATTTGGTTTGCTGTGCACAACTGAAAGGTGATACCACCTACCTTCTTCCATTTCAAACCCAGAAAAAGACAAGGATGAAGAGTTGCTCGTTGCAAGGGTTAGAACACCATCCTCCTGAAGACGAAGTTCAGCATAAAAGGGGCTTCCATTGTCCACTGCCCCGACGGAGAATATTTGAAGAAACTGTGGTCCATGTTGCAGTCCACTTGTTATACTGTGACTTTTGGAAATTCCAGCTTTTGGAACTTCTATTTCCCTTGTCTGTGAGTTTAAGAGATTTTGATATTGAAACCAACAAACAAAGGAATAGCCAGCAGCAGGAGGCCATGATCTTTCCCCTAGTGGCACTTGAATCGAAGCATGGCCAATCTTGCTCATGTCAAACTCTACAAAGGGTGCTAGAGAGACATCTTCTGAACCCTTATCTTCAGAAAGCATCAAATTTTCCATCATTTCAACAAGAGAATGGCCAGAACTCTTGAGTCTGTTTTGCAAAATATACCTAACAAGAATTCTGAGTTCTGATACTGACAACCTGTTATCAAAATATATATAGTTCATATAAATACACGTATAGTTACATTAAAGTAAAATGAATTATAGTCCTGGAACAGATGTATCAGACTAGAAGTTATTTTTACCTATACGCCCCAAGAAGTTCCACAATCTTCAAACTATGAGATACTAGTGGCGAAGAGCTCGATATGAAGGGGCATATTGTCTCCAGTAAAAGTTCCACACAACCTAAAATGTTTCAGTAAAAGTTCCTCAAGATGCTGTTGACATTAGAAAAGACAAAAGGTACTAAATTTGTGGATTCTCACCTACAGATGTAAGGTTTTCCTGATTGAAGGAACTAGCACGAGCAAGCTTTTCGATAAGGTTAAGCAATTCTAATTGCACCTTTGGAGTAAAGAGCAATAAAGCACGTATAAGCACTCTCACAGCAGCAGCATTGTAAACCCGTTCTTTATCAGGAATGAAAGAACCCGCAGGTGTGACAAGAAGAAAATTAGCTGATTCATTTTTGGCATCATCAGAAACTGTAGCCGTTTCTGATGCAAGGAATGGTGGAATTACCATTTCTAGAGCAAGTTCCAGCAGCAACTGTATTACTTGACGCTCATATTCAACACAAATCAAACCAGAATCGGAGAGAAGATCATAAAAGGTCTGGGAAGATATGACAGTATGCAACTTTGTCCTGTTAACACCACTGTCACAAGCCCCTACTGTCATTACACGCAACAAGTACGTAAACACCTTACTGCATACAATTATAGAAGCTTGATTTTTCTGTTCTCCATCACTCTGAAAAAAATGGAGGGTCGTTAGCAGAAGAGAAAAGCCAGTTGCTTCACCAAAGACCCTCTGAGCTGAGCTATTAGCCCTTAGAATGCGCCATAAGGCTCCAAAAGTATCAAATTTTGCATTGTCTTGAAGTCGGTATTGAGATCCCAAAGAACTTGTAACCATCCCACTTTTTAGAATTTCTACCAATGATCCCAATTCTTCTGGGTGAGCCTAATGAAAAAGGAAATACAGATATTGTAATACTCGTAAGTAATTTAGGAAGCACTATGGTTGTTACTTGCAAAATCACAATTCATGCGATAAAGTAGCAATTATATTTGTAATACAGATCATATACACAAAATGATAATTTCGTATATAAAGCTCCGTGGAAGCAAAAGTATTTATGAGAAACCAAAGCATGAATAGAAGCTGAACCCTACATGGATGACGCTGAGCTACAACTATGAGATTACCAAGGCAGCAATGTCAAATCACATTACAATGTCGCATATTCACTTCATCTAAGCACTTAAACCTCCAAGCAAAGAAGAACAGATCAACCATTCAAACTCTTAATGTCAAAGCCATCATTTATTATAATTTCTAAGATGATTTTGACAAGAAAACAAATCCTTGTCAGGTACCAACATTATGCTCAAACACAAAAACTATTTACCATGTTCACATTTCAAGATTTAGATTCTACAATAGTGTATCTAACACTTTCTTGCACAGCTATGAGCCTGTGACAACAAAGCACATTTTTCATTATAAAAAAAAAATGAATTACAAGTTGAGCAATTAAGTTTGGACAAGGGCAATTAAAGAATGGATTATTTAAATCCATCAAAATATAGTGGCATGTCATCACTGAATTTAAAGGCAAGGGACAAATTTATATGTCGAAACAAATATATGAACACAATTATTTCACTGAAGTTAGAGTGAAAGATATTCATAAATTAGTTGTCTGATACAGATATAAATTCATTTTCACACGGGACATGTCAAAACTTTAGAAAAGGAAAGATGACTAGCAATTGTATCAAAATCTGGGGAGCATGTGAAAGGTCACGGAAAAAATGATAACCTAATAGAAAAGCTGGGATGTCAAAGATGTATCTTGTATAATCAGGATGGGCAAGACAACAAAATTGCAATCAGTATAATAGTTACATTCTTGATCTGATAAGTCCGAAGGTTTTTCAAGTTCTGCCACAACCAAAAGAAATTTATATCAAAACTTGGAAACTTGAAAGGAGTTGGGAGTATTTCTTGAAGCTCCATAAAGGCAGAGGAAATGCAGTTTCGGCAAAAAAATTCAAGGAATAAGCAAAATGAAAGAAATAAAGAAGGTTGTGGACCTGTTTGGCATCCTCAATAATTAAACATGATAACGCCCGTAGAACACCTGGACGATGAATATCCGAAACCAAAAATGGAAGGATGATAGACACGCCATTAGCAGAACGAAATAGTGCTTGATTAGCCTCTGCCTTCTTCAATAAGAATACTAAAGAATCCCATGCAACTGCAATTGTGCCCTCTGCTCCGAAAAGGGGAAATTTCCCAGAACCAGATTCTAAGAGTTTTGGAGAGGAAAGAATTGAATCCTTATTGTCCAAATGTTTCTTGAAGCTGCTTGAGCTAGCTTCTCTCTCCAACGGAGCAGGATCACAGTTAAGATGCTCTGGACCCAACTGAAACTTATGCTGCTTTAGATCATCTAACAGAACCTCTAGTACACCAACTTCCCTTAGGATTTTCTTGTATTGTTGATCAAACGACAAAAGTTTAACAAAGAAAGACAAAATCGTGTGCTTTAATTCAGAGGTTATTGGTTGCTGCAATAAGCAGCAAAGAGAAAGCAACTCTTGTTCAGGGATGATATTCACAACCGTTACAGCATATTCGAGAATTTTCAAGATTATCTCTTGTAGAGATGGGGGGAAGCCAGCCATATTGAGGATCAAAAGGGGTACTGTGCGCAGCTGCTGACACAATTTGTAGTTTTCAAGATGACTAGAGAATATTTTGAACATTCTATTCAGTACTTCAGCCTGCAGTTCCCTACTTTCAGCTTTGATTAAAATGTCCTGTAACATCTGAACAGCCTCTAAATCTTTGACTTTGTCAGTATCTTTCTCCCAAATTTCATCAGTTATTCGGTCAGATGACGATGTACGACTTCTGCCATGCCCACTAGGCCTTGCCTGAGTAAATTTCGAATTTTTTAGTCCAGATGAAGCATCAGAAAGGCCTGTTTGAGTGAAACTAATAATGACATCAAGCAGCCTAGAAAGTGTAGGAGAGAGGAGATTTCGTGATGAGTGGTTTCCTCCTTCGCTTGACTCCTTCCTCTCTATCTCATGTGCCAAATGCAAATTCTCTGAATTGGAGTCTTGTTCAGAAAGCGGCTTGGAGTAAAAAGATAGGCCGTCTTGATTCTTGGAGAGAGCCAAAGCAAATTGGACCAGGAATTGATAGCCATGAGCATTGTGAATATCCTCCCTGAGTCTTGTACCACCAGCCTCTACAAGTAAAAAACAAATTGTCTAGCAGCACTGAAATAAATTTTTGAAAGGAGAAAGTAATTCTTAATTCCTGGAATGCATGATAATTCCGTTCAATGTCTGGGGACTAACTATACTCTACACTTTCCCCCTCGAACGGGGTTTGAATGAATATAGTGGCACTTTATGAAAAGTTTGCATGTATTAGGTCGCCCTAATATTTCCTCCTATATATAAAGGTATTAAGGAGAACCTCTTTATGGAGAAGAACAAAACTAAAAGACCTGGAATCAGAAAACACATTGTAAATTATAGTGAAATCTAGCAATGGCAAGTGGATGTAGCTCTCTCATTGAGAGTGAACCACTCTAAATTCTGGGTACTTGCTTTCGATTTTCTGTGTTCCGTGTTGTTATTGCTTCAGTAATATAGGATTAACGATTAATGCATAACAATGTCATGTTATCTAAATCATTCACTAAAGCAGGGAGTCTAATTTAAAGAATTTCAGCAATGGGTGACAAAGTGGTTATGCCCTCCATGACGACTTTCAAAAGGCATTGATCATTTTATTATTGATCTTCTCTCTTTCCTGAAGTACCTATGGGGTTGAACTGACACAGGGGTAAGCCAACTTATGGCATCAAAACAGAAGCTATGTTGCAAATATATGTTTTTATGGAATCTCTAAAATATGTCATTTCAGTTGCTAAAGGAAATATGAATCTAGCTTGAACTTTCAAGTCCAGTTCATGGGCGATATTAAGACATTTTACCTGGCCTATATGACAACTCAACACATTCAAGAAGCACGTCCACGATGCCCATTGTGTATGCGGGATCTCCACAATCAGGTTTGAAATCCTTCACGGCCATTAGTAGTACTTTTATCTGGCATCCAGACATGAAAGCAAAAATCATTGTCAAAATATAGCATAAGGAGAAGGGGAGAGTAGTATTTAAAATACAACGAAAGCAATTAAAATTCTATGTTGATTGTCATGTAGGGATTTAAAGAAATTAGGGAAGTAAATGGAAAGGAAGAATGAGAGCCAGATTTAATTAGATATCTTGTAGAAGGGACATTTCAGCATTTGATGTATTTATTCAGGTGCCTACCTTTAATTTTATAAATAGGTCACTTATTTTTCCAAGAGGTTCAAACTAAGAGAGATGGTTCAATCTAACAAGTCTAGGAGAAAAGAAGAACAAGAATTATTCTCTTCATACACAGCTAGTGTCATATGATGCAAAACCTTTCCCTTTTGGATGAAGAATCGATACAGGTCTTTCATTGATAATCTTCAAAAGAAGGCAACAAGTATGTCTACAATCTCATGAGTTTCTCCTTTGAAAGTTCATTGGACTGCCTTCAACTTCCTAAAGGTGAAATGTCTTATCTCAACCTAAAACTAACCAGGTATTCTAGTAACATCTAAGACATCGCTGTATGCCACACATTCAAACCCTTCACTCACGTTCCATCGTTCACTTGTGAGAAAATTGGCTTCAGAAAATTAATATAAAAACAAGGTTATTTATTGGTAATAATAATCATATGCTAAAAATTAAGACACGGGAGAAACGTTTGCACATTTCATGATGGTGTTAAAAGTTAATAGAAGAAAAAAATTAACAAGAGGAAAAATACAAGAAAGTAAACTAAGAGTTCTGTTTTTTATTTGTAAGTGATTTAAACCTAAACCATTTGATTAACAAAAAAATTATTATGATCTTATTTGGGCTCCATTATTCCACATTATAATAAGAGGAATAGTAATTTTTTGGAAAATATGTGGATAAAAAAAGAAGGAAAATTTTTTAGGTTTACTTGTAATATTATTTTATTGGAGAATGTGTGATTGATAAAAGAGATAGAAAAAAATTAATTTAATGGGAACATAAACAGGGGCTATATACCAGATGGTGCTTGCGTATATACTTGGCTGTGCTGCCATTGTCATTGACCAAAAGAAGACCAAGTATCTGGAACAACAATTATATACAAAATCACTTCACCGATCAGGAAAAACAGGGACATTTAATGGCTCAAACAATTTTTCCAATACTGACTCAGTAGTGGATGATGAAATTCGATGCTACCTGTTTAGCATGTCGGTGAAGTTGAATGGTATGCAAGGGAACAAGACCCTCCTTATAGTGGGAAAACACCACCAAGGAACCATTGGCAACCATTTGAAAGAGTAACTGGAGTGAATTATCTTCTGTGAGACTTTGAGCAGCTGAAGGATGGCTTGCCAATGCTTTCATGATATGTACAACACTTCCCTCTACCTACAAAAATTTAAAATAGTTGTAAGAAAAGTTGATGTTGTCAGATATATATCCTAATCACACAAACCAATAATTTGAAAACGTGTACAGCAATACTCTCCCTGCAAACTTGAATATAACAAAAGTGAAGTTCTGAGAACTAATGTTATGAGAACACTAGAACCCATTTTGAGCATCAACTGTGAAGCTACTTTTCACTTAGAGATTCATGGAAGGTAATATATCACATTCGTTAACTAAGATAATAAACTCAAAGATAAATAATGAGAAACTTATAGCCAAAAATGTGTGGACTTATTTGAAAAATGTTACAAATGTTACCCCTTGAATGCAGATATGCTTTCAAATGTCGAATTTGATGACAAGGTTAGGAATATGTAATGTTTCGCGTGAAGAGAAGAAGAAAGCATGGAATATTCATCCAAATAGTGAGTTGTTTTTGATAAAATATCAGGTCGAGAAACCACCGACCCTCAAGAAAGATGGAAAGAAGACAAGAAGATTAGAGGATTGTGCTATTTTTGACCTCCTTGCACTCGACCGCCGACCCTCAAGAAAGATGGAAAGAAGACAAGAAGATTAGAGGATTGTGCTATTTTTGACCTCCTTGCATGGAGTGCAAATCTAGGTAGGAGAGGGTGATCATAACAGGTGGAGGATGGCAAGGGATGGTATTTTTTCAGTTCGCACCTATTTTGGATCCATTTTGAGACCTGTGAAGAGTTCTTTTCCTGAAAAATGGTGTGGCAATGCAAATTACCTCCACGGGTGGCATTCTACTGTGGACGGTTTTGAGGAAACATGTGTTAACGGTGGATAATATTTGAAGAAAAGGTTTTTATGTAAACGAGTGGTGTTATATGTGTAAGAAGGATGGGGAGACAAATGACCACTTGTTCATTCATTGTGATGGTGGGTGTTGGCCGTGGAACGGTATTCTGGCTTCTCAACATATGGATTGGGTGTTGCCTCGGCGTATAAACGACATGCTGCGGGCTTGGAGGAGAAAATTTCGTGATAAGGATAGCAAGCTCGTATGGGATCTTATCCCGGGAGGCATTGTATGGTGTGTGCCACTATTTTGAAGACCAAACATGGACGACAAAGCAGATTAGAGAACTATTTTATCTAACTTTGTATACCTGGTTTAATGCCGCGTCTACTAATCCTATAGAAGGGCTGCCTAATTTAATGTTTCTATTTTGCTTCAATTGATAATACACTTCCTGTGTATTCTCTTTTGATTAATAAAATTATCCGATTACCTATCCAAAAAAAAAACGGTGAGTATCAACATGGATTGTAATTGCAATATTCTGCCTTGTCACCCCACACTTGGTTTGATGTCAACATCAACTTGGTAAAGACAGTTAGCAGAGAGGAAGAATCAGTTAAATTTCAGCTGTACAGGTTGCACATATCAATTTCCAGAAACTAGCACTCTAAGGATAAGCAGAGTAAATAATAAATGATAACTCCCTAACGAGAATTCACATCCAGCAACATGATAATTACTAAAAAACCTTTAGTTTCTATTTAACAAAAAAAGCATTTCTCCAACTTCACGGAAACTCAGAATCAGGTATTTAACGACGAGATCCATTACATCCACATCTATAATATTGCATCGGAGCAAATCTGATCACCAAAATAGGGAAGCAACAACTATCTGGACTAGAAAGCAAAAAAGAAAAGTAAATTCAAGTTGTAGACAACAATGTCACAATGTGACCTGAAATTTACAACAAGTAAACAAGGACATACGCCTAACATTGCAATTTGGAAGAAAGCAAATAAATAAATAAATAACCACAAAAGGAATTATGCAAAGGAAAATTTACACACAGAAATACAAGACTAGTCTACATTCCCAAGAAAGAAAGAAATAATAGAATAAACTAGCATTTCAGATGGAAGATAATATCTTCACTAGAAAAACAACTACCTCAAGCCGCCGTGCAGCTCTAGTCTCTCCATCGTGCTTTACATCTGCTTTTATAAGCTTCCCATCATTTTTCAGCTGTAGTCTCTGATTGCCCACATCAGGAGCAACAAGAGCATTTAGGACATGAATGAGACAGCATAAGATCCCAGAGTCGAGAAAAGATTGTTTGTCGATAGTCTGTAGACGCGTAATAACTTGTGAGATATACCAACATACAACGCATTTATATAGCTTAAGGCATTCGGTGCCATCTACATTTCTTTCCATTTTCCACAAAGAGATGTCAATAAATCATTTACCACTATCAACCAAAGATTCTCATGTTCAACAGAAATATTACATATTATCACGTTTACAAATGCAAGCAGGGCAAAATACTTAAATTAGCTCGATAATAATATTAAAAAAAAAAAAAATTATACTCAATCCTGGGATTGAATGTGCTAATTTCGATTTTGGAGATTTCATAAATCCCCCACATCACTTTTTTTATATGGTGGAGGACAAAATTCACTTCCCCAAAATTTAAAGTTCCTTTAGCAAATAAGTCGTTATCAAGAAGGAGATAATAGAGAAGCGTGTGGGATGGAGAGGAGGCACCACAGCAATGACAAAATTTAAGTTATCATGATAAATGGGAAATGAAACAAAAACAATTATTAAAGCAAAAGGCTAAAGCCTAAAAATATAGAAGATCGTATGTTAGTACATTCAATGTACATACCCCAGATACAAGGACTTCAACTGCATATAATAAATTTGCTCCTGGATTGATGTCATCCTGCTGAGAATTAAGAATGTGTTTTAACCACAAGACAAGAAAGAATGAACCGGAAATTAAAAAAATAAATAAATAAGAGAGAGAGAGAGAGAGAATTTTTCACGAATAGAATCTGAGGAAAAACCTTCGTGGTTGTAGAGAAAAAGTTTAAAACTTTATCAACTTCCAAAGATCTTGTTTTACTGCTAAGCTTCAACTTTTCAATATCTGTTACAAATGCTCTTCCCACTACAAAAGAAAATATGTGCGTCTCTACTAACCTGCAAAATGATGGTTTAGAAATTAACCTATCTATTTCACCAAGAAAGCAAAATTTCAATGAAAAGAATTAAGGAACAAATTAAGAAAGTTGACATGTTTCTTACAGGTTACAGAATAGAGTATTTATAGCAAGATGGGTAAGCATATAAGTTATCAAGCCTAACTTACTTATAAGTCAATTATCATTAAAGACGTATTTGGTTATACAAATAAGTAACCACTTTCTTACTTACACATGATAAGAGTTACTTATTTTGATAGTAACGGCGTGATACCATTAAATACGCAACTCTTTTGATGGTGAATAACTCAACTACCTTGACTAATTTAAAATTTACAAATATATTAAAAAAAAATTATTTAAATATAAAAACTTAAAAGGTAATAAATTTGAATTATGCTACTTGTACATCACCCTTTACACAAGGGATGACATAATGCACAAGTGGCGCATCTTCATTGGAGGGGTGCCGAGGCCCCATAAAAATGAAACGATTTCATTCTAAAAAAATTAATTGGTTTATTAAAAGTCAAAATAACAGTATTAAAAATTTATCATTTTATTACATTTTAATAGCAATTTTGTATTATCTAATATTAATGCTAAGTATCGAATAATTAACTATTGAAATGATTTTTAAAAATTGAGCACCATTTGATCTAATAAAGACTACCTAAGCAGTATTCAAATAATGAACCTGGTAAAACTAATGTTTTGGTAATTTATTGAGTATATCAAATATTAAATTTAATATTTATACAATACATTAAACAAATTATCATCAAATTTTGGCGGAGAAAGTGTTCCATTGCTTTATAAAACAAGCCAAATATATTTTTCTTCGTTTGACAATTTTACTCTACTCATGTGTAACTATTTTGTTAAACATAAAGTTGTTTGTAAGTTAGTTTATCCAGAAATACGTACCAAAGAAATAGTTGTAAATTCATGTACCTGTAAACACTAGATTGGTTTTTTTTTAAAGTCGGGGAGTATATTGTTCATCTAGTAATTTAGTAAAAAAGACAGAACAACTACGGTGATTCTGGTACAAAATAACCAATTGATAAAGTCAGAAATGAAATCTCAAGTAAATCCATTTATAGCAATTATATTATGGGAGAAAAAAGAGAAGAAAGGAAATTGCCCTCATACATGGTAATTAATTGAGTTATATTTGTGTGCTGCTTCACTAATCTACAAAATATATCTACAGTCCAATTCAAGGCCTTTTCTTTGTCCTGCATGGACACAGAAAAGATGTCAGACTTGGAGTTTCTTCTGATATATCTCCGCTAATATGGGGGATTAAAAATAATGATGATCATACAAGTAGACCTACTGTACAACGTGTCTCTGTGTACCTTTTCAGAACTAGATGAACGGAACTCTTCCCAATAACTCTTGAAATCCAATTCCAGTTCATGTCTGTCTCTGTTCACAAGGTAAGAAAGACAACAATAAATGTTAAATCTAGATCATGCACCTATATTACCACAACCAAAAATAATGCACCCGTTTGGATCTCATTTTAATGAGATTTTTCTTCCTATCTCACTAAGCTATAGTGAATAAAATAATTAAAAATACAAAAGTTATATCAGCTTTGTCAGAATCCGTACAGACGTCAAATCCAAATTGCTGTTATTGCCTACAAATTTGAATGAATTCAAACAAGGGGGCCCACAAAAGTTGAAAATGAGGAATTAACGGGGCAAAATGGCTTGAATAGCAATTTTCCATTCGAATCCAGAGTAAGTCAAGCAAAAAAGGAAGTTTAAATCAATAAGGTACACATTCCATTATTTTCCAAAACCATATACACAATCATGATTTAAAGAATCAGAGGTGCAAAACTAATCAAATCTAGAAATCCCAGTATGGACATCACATACCCATTGTTAAAATCACCAAAGAAGATGACCAATATTGACATGTTGTCATCAAAAACTTTTGTATCAAAGTATGTACGGTTTGGAAGCAAACTAAAAAACCAAACTTATTGGAAAGAATTAAATTGATCCACTTCACCAGGTTATATTTGGTCGATACATTGTTGCCAATTCAGATGTTGAGAAAAGAAAACAACGGGGAGAGAGAGAGAGAGATAATTTCATTGAAAAAAATTCAAAAAATTATTTCAATTCAACGATGAAATAATTTTGATTGCTCACATCACCATAGACCAACTATTGGGGCGAATCACCTCGGCAATAGGCCCACAGCACGTTTATAATTGGAAAAACATGCATCGTTGAAATACACACCAAGGTTATGAAAAGATTAATATCTCTCAATCTTATCACTCTTTCGACCTAAAAAATAAAAAGAAAAGGTCATCATATTCAAACCACAAAAATGACATCCCTTGGCTCCCATTTCGCACCTCAAAACATCCCGATCTTATTAGAGAAATGCGTTGTCGCATTATAATGTTTCATCTTCTCTTTCACTTGCTCGTTATAATTTTCCCCTCATTCTGCTGATTAATAAACATGTTTAGCTCGTTCACCAGACTATTTTAATTCGTTAACCTCTGCAAAGGTACTCAAACCCCTATGTATAATGTAAACTAACCCACCATTAGAAATTAAATTGAAACTGCCTATGAATTCCAACAAGAATTATGTGGTAAATTTAAACCAATTTTAGAATTAAGCCAAAAGATATTGTTCTATCCTAAGTGTTAATCTTTGTGTAATTAATTAAAGCCCGTTAAAAGAGATTGGTTAATACCGGTTTCATTAATTTATATGGATTCGATAACATGATTTCTTGTTCCTGGCATAATTGTTTCACCAAAACAACCAGTACTCAATTTTTAACATTATATCCATCTACTCAACCAAGGCGACAATGTTAGAAAATGTGAGGCAAATTCAAGTCACTTTTAAAGACGGAGTCCAATTTGACTGTTGAACTTAGAATCTTAGATAACAGATTTATGGCCACTTCCTGATTAATCAATAGCATGCGGACAAAACACCTAGCTCCACAACATTTTCCTAACAAGCTTAATGGTTAATACCTAAACAGGAGAGAAAACATACACAGAAGCTCATCAAGTGCCCAATCCGAAGAGGTAAGCAAATATAGTTTGAACAAAAAAAATATTAGACAAATATATTTTTGGGAAATTTTTATTTGATGTGTTATACATGAAATGCATTAGCTGCAAAGGTTAACTAATATGTGGCCCAGAAAAGGAAGCCCATTAGCCTAAGTGAACAGGTTTCTTTACATGGATCTAAGCCCCTGTTTGAGCTCCATTAAAAATGGGTTTTTGGGAACAATGTATTTTTGAAATAGTACTTTTTTGGAGAACGTGTCATTAAAAAATGAGGAAAAAAAATTGGGTTTACGTGTGATATTATTTTATTGGAAAATGTGTGGTTGAAAATAAGAAAAAGAAAAATGCACAAATTAACACATTTATCCGACACCACTAACAATGAGCACCAATCAGTACCCTCAAGTTTTATGTCAGCTGCATCGATAGAGGGCTAAAAGTATTTAAGCATTGAAAAATATCATCCTATGCTGGGTTCTGAGCAATTTTGCAGATCCACGTTCCAACTTTATGCAGTAGGGTTTAGATAAAATTTTACCCCCTTGACCAATTAACGAAAAAAACCCAGGTGAAGTGGTTATGATTTTGTATGGAAATTTATTATTTAACAAGGTAACTTTTCAAGCATAGTAAGAAAATGCAGCAAAAACCATTAACTGTGGGAAGTATAACTAGTCAGCATTTCTTCAATCTTTTTTTAAACTGTATCTTTAATCTTTAAGAGCTTCTGTGATCAGTAATCTGCATATTCCAGAAAACTAGCCTAAAGCCTTTACTTCGACCTAAAACTAAAGGATTGTCCTTCCCCAAGAGAAAAAGCTTCTGTTTTTTATTTTCTATTGACACTATCCAGGATCAGTTTAACAAATAATCCTAGCATCAACCTGTCATCACCGATCATTATCCAACAAAAACTAAAAGTAATATCCATAGCCCTAGGAGCCTGTTTGGTAGGGATTTTGGGGGNGTTTGGTAGGGATATTTGGGGGAAGAATTGATTTTGAATAGTGATATGATGGGAAATGTGTGGTTGAAAAAGAAGAAAAAAATATTGATGTGATGGAAAATATTATTTTATTGAAGAATATGTGGTTGAAAATGAGAATTGATTTGACAATCAGAAACAAACAGCGCCCTATTTAGCAACAAAATAGCAACAATTTATTATTGACCACTTCCTCCAACAGTTGACTTTCAAATTCTTCTTCTCCAACCGCAAAAGCAATACTGAGACCAATAATATCTGTCACGAGCTTGTATAATATTTGTTCACACATAGATTCATAAAAAGCCGAACCTTGAAGACGATGATGTGTAATCTTGGCTGGATGATTGGGCACTGCTGCTACTGTCATTAACATCCTTGAACGGTGATGATGAAGGAGAAGGAGAAGACGAAGCGGACGGAGTCTGCGAAAGCCCAACCTTTTCCTTGAAGTCCTTAAGGAGTGTTACCCATTTCATCGCTTTCTTCCCACTTGAATTCCCAAACATGTACGTAACAAATCTTAACTAAGATTAGTGCATATAAATATAAAAATCATAAATGCTCTCTCATCCAACGACCAGAAGGACCACAATTATCTCCGCTCCAGGAATCAGATCTAAATACAAACCCTTCTAGACTACCCTATAAGGATTACCAGCTCATTTCCCCAATTTCCCTTTTCCCACTCAAAAAGAAACGGAAGTGACGATCGGAGTAGAAATAAAGAAGAAGAGCAGCAAGATCTGAAATATATACACACACACACGTATATATATATATATGTGTGTAGTTAGTATGTGTGTGTATATATTGATATTCGAAATAATCTATATGGGTTTATTTCCTCTCTTGATCTGGATATGCGGCTAACTTCGTTCTGTTTGTAGATTTTTCGGGCCAGAAAATTATGAATTTAAATATTTTCCACTAATCTTCTTTATTTAGATTTTCAAAATTTTGCCCTAGAAAATGCGAGTGTATATAGATACACGTATATAGAGAGAGAAACAGAAGAAGAATTCTGCAGCAAGCCAGCAACAACGGTGCTTTCTCTTGTTTTCGGACGGCCTCTCCGCGCCTCGCTTCTCGCTCTATATATATAGATAGATATATCTCTCTCTCTAAAAGTATGTTTGCGTCGAGGCTAAACCCTGACTTAAAACTCCTTAATAGGCCATGTCAGCGTGGGATCCACGACCATGAGTGCCACGTGGCGAATCAAGATCGATGGCCCCAACGTGAAGGCCTGTCACTTTTCCTTTTCCATTTCCTTTTCCTTTTCCTTTTCCTAATTTAAATAAAACTTCTTATCCCCATTAAAATTCGCATTCTCATTCTCATTCTTCTATTCATTTTCAATCACACATTTTTCAATAAAATAATATTTTCTATCACATTAATAATTTTTCCTTCTTTTTCAACCACACATTCGCCTAGAACTAGACAAAAGTCCTGAACCGAATCGAGTAGTTCTTCATAAATTAAATTTCCGAACGGGATATTTGATTCGAGAATCAATGGATTTGGTTTGGTTTGGTTCGGTTCTTGATTCTAGGCCAAGAATCGAATCTAAATAATTTTTGTAATTTTTAATATTAAATTAATTAAATAATTTAATTTTTTAAAACAAATTAGCAAATTTAAATAATTTTCTACTTTTTAGTATTTTTATATATTGAATTAATCTTATTGGATAGCTTGTTATTTATATCTTTTTAAATTGGGCTATGTTAATTTGTAATAGTTATGAATGAATATATTATTAGTTATATTTATGTAGTGTTGTTGTAAATGTTAAAAAATTTAATTATGATACGGAACTGAAAGGAACAGAACCGAACCCGAACGGTTCCATAATTATATTTGGACCCGACAATTGCATTTATTAAATAACCGAAAATTTTGGATCGGTTCGATTCTGAAGAAAATCGAACCGAATCGGACAATGTCCAGTCCTACATTCTCTATTAATCTACTATTCCAAAATCCATACTTCCAAAATAATGTGGCTCAAACACACTCATAGTTGGATTTTTTATCTTTTTTATTCGAAATTTAGGGATTAATTGATTTAAATTTAGTGGTTGAAAGGGCGGCAAATTGGGCAGTTGACTAACCCTTATTATAGCCCTGTTTGGTCCACATTTTTTTTTTCATTCTCATTCTTCTATTCATTTTCAATCACACATTATTCAATAAAATAATATTTTCATCACATCAACAGTAAATTTGCATTCTTACCTTCAAAATGTGCACCAAACGGGGGCTATAATTAACTAAAATATATTTAGGGTGTGTTTGATCCACATTATTTTGAAATAGTGTATTTTTGAATAGTAAATTGATGGAGAATATGTGATTGAAAAATAAGGAAATGTTATTGTTGTGATGAAAAATATTATTTTATTGAATAATGGGCCTGTTTGGTAGGAATTCTCATTTTCTACAGTAAATCAATTCTCATTTTCAATCACACATTTTTCAATAAAATAATATTTTC